TAGATAGATGTGAGCCAAACGCTTGAACAACTAAGACTGTGGAAGAACTCGATGCCATTATTGCTAAGAGGTAGATGACGTTTCGGGAATCATTAAGCACACTTAGTGATTTAATGCCCAAGACTGAAATTTCCCAGTACAATACCATAAACAATCAAGATATATGCTACAAATACAGAGATACGCTAATTTGCTGATTTGCTGAGCCGTTGGACAAGGGATCATAAACAATCAAGATGTTGGAATGAAATTTCATACGATACATCATCATTAACATTTGTGAAATGTGTGATAGATGGATCGAAAAGAGTAGTTAAAGAGTTGTATGCAATCTGTTTTTCTTTGTTTGATTCAAATCAGACTGGTTTGCTTGATTCTGATTAAACACTATTTAGCCTTGGTTATTTTTTCTCTTTAATATATATTTTTCTCTTTAAGAAAACTCTAACAAGAAAAGAAAAATAAGCTACAAATCCTATTGAGTTACTCGTTACAAAGAAAAGAAAAATGTAAGAAGAAAGACAAATATTACAAAGTCCGTGAAGTCTTGTATCAGAAAGTAAATTTAGATGAAGACAGGTTTGCATAAAAAGAAAAATTTATAGAGAGAGGTATAAGTTCGAGTCTTGTCTTTGATTTCTTGTTGTGTTTTAATCCTTTTCTTTTACATGCGACGCTTGTTATGGCGTTGTATAAACCTTTGATTGCTAATGAAATTGTGGGTGTCTGATCCCAACCGAAAAGTATTTCTAAGTGTGTTTAGTTTCTAATTCATCTCAAAACTCATAAGAGCAAAGCATCATTATATCGAACCAAAGAAATCATTACTGTTGAACTCGGGTTCGTTGTATTGGTTGTCTCTGATTAATTTCAATAATTGCGAACCTATTTCTTTGAGCCATTAGTCATAATATAATGTTAATTATTACTACTTTTTTGTTGGAAATATCTATCTTTTGATCGGAGTGTACGTACACTACAAGCATGTCTCTTTGTCTACATTAGATTCTTAATTTTCTTATAACACACTTGCAAAAATATATATATCCATGTTCATACCTACGTATGTTCATTAAAGATTTCGCACATTAGATATTATCGTGATCTTGACCCAAGTCCAAATTAATCGATTAGTAGCTTAATAACACGATATGTAAATATGCAGGTAGTAAAAAAAAAAGAAAATGGATTAGTCGCTTAATAAAATGATAAACATAAGAGTACACTTATTTATCAGTACAAAATCATTTAGCTCCAAAGAGACTATCCTAAAGAAAAAAAAACTAAAATGACAAAAATTGTAAATGAAAAGTACTAATGTCGATGATGTTGTCGACGATGAGACCTCCTAGTTCACATCTGGATCCAATGAGCAAGCTGGGTCGGGTTAACCACACCAGGTACGTGGGTCCCATCAGTTTTGAACATACTCGCCACGTCAGAGTAATTCTGGTGAGCCTCTTCCTTCGTTTCTCTGTGCTGCTGAGGCGACGAGACCAGCGGCCCAACCTCGGCCCATCCAGGATACAGCTTCCGGCCCAACATCGTACCGCACGTGAGGAACTCGTGTGCCATGTAACCGGCCAATAACCAGTTCGATGTAGCCGGATTGGCTAAACCGAAATCGCTCTCCGTCGTCTCCTTGCGTTTCCTCGACGCGTCCGGACGCGCGTGATGGTTTTGACTCATATTTTTATTTTGCGTTCTGTTTAGGTTATGCCACGTGGTCGTTGGATAACCGTCAATGTCAAAAGAGAGGGGTAGAAATGTTAATTCAATTTTTTATCTGAGGAGAAAAGCGTCAAACGCATGACTGTCGAGAAAAATTAGCGGATACAGACAAAAAAAAAGATTCTAAAATTACGATTTGTAAAGCCAAAAAAAAACGATAGAAGGTTATCGCCGGAGGAGGATGGTAAATCTGAGTGTATCGGTGATATAGTCGGCGTCGCCGAGGATCGGAGAAGAAATCTCGACCAAATTTGGATGAAGCAAACGCCGTCGGAGATCGGCGGAGGTGTAAAAAGGCGGCGATCGGAGAGAAAAAGGGATAAAAGATAGAT